TGGTACCAAAAAAAAAAAAAAAAAGGAAAAGATACATTATGAACAAGTGGGCTTCAACCTCAGAATGCACACATGGTTCAACATATGCAAATTAATAAATGTAATATATCACATAAACAGAAGCAAGGACAAATACCACATGATCGTCTCAATTAATACAAAAAAACCTTTGACAAAATCCAACATTCATTTATGATTTAAATAAAACTGAAAATACTTTATGTCAAGCTGATAAAATCTATTTGACGTTTTCTGTTGATATTATACTAAACATCCCTAAAATAAAAAATAAGACAATGTTATCCACCATTCCTGTTCAATACAGTACTTGAAACTTTAGTGAGAGTTAAAGGGAAAGGGGAAGAAATAAAAAGAATATATATTGGAAAAAAAGCAGTCAAATTAATCTTATTTGCAGATAACATGATCTTTATTTAGAAAACCTAAAAAAATTCCACTAAAAGACTCCTAGAACTAATAAGCAAATTCAGCAAAAGAGCAGGAAAATCAATAGTATTCCTGCACACCGATAATGAACATACTGAGAAAGAAATCAAGAAAACAATACAGTTTACAATAGCTTCAAAAAAATTAAATATGACTTAGGCATCAATTTAAGCAAGGAAGTGAAAGATCTCTACCACAAAACTATAGTACTCTGAAAAATGAGACTGAAGAGGACATCAGGAAACAGAAAGATATTCTTATTCCTAGAACCAATGTTGTCAAAATCAATACTGTCAAAATGGTCATAAATTGACATATACACTTAATGTAATTCCAATCAAAATACCAACAACGTTCTTCACAGAAGTGGAGAAAACAATCCTAAAATTCATATGGAACCACAAGAAACCAAGAATAGCAAAAGTAATCCTTAGCACCAAGAGTGAAGCAAGATACATCACAATTCTGGTTCTTAAGCTGTATTACAAAGCTACAGCAATAAAAAACTATATAGGTTTTTTCGTAGAAATTATATATTTTTAAGTACAGAATAAGATAGAGTAAACAAAATGCTCTTTCAGAAAACTAACCTTTGTTTTGCATAGCTGTAGGCAATGTTTGGGAGATACTGTTTCAGTTCTACAGGGAAAACTGCAGGCACTTCAAATTCCTGATAACAGACATTAGCTGCTCTGTCTAGGAATAAATATACACTTTTTAGAAAGAGTTCATGATGATACAAGGTCATGGAAAAAGTATTGAATACTAACATTTGACATATGCTTTTCTAAAATAAATTTCCAAATTGAACATGCCCAAATAAATAATTAGCATTATATTCGACAGTATTAGATTTGATATATCTATATTCAGACCTATCTCTTTGATAAATAATATACATAATAAAATAACATTCCAAGAATAAATTAAAAAGCATCTGTGTTTACATATATGAACTGATATATAATAAACATATATATGTTTTACTGTTTACTTCTTAAATATCAGGAAATAGGAATTCGTAAGGGTTAACAGTTAAATAAAGGACTCAGGGTTTTAAGTGTTCACATCTCCCTAACAAGTTCATTTATGTCTCTCTAATACCAAAAGCCTACATGCTAACTGTAGTCAGATGATCAAATTTTTACCTACAGAAAAATCAAGTCTCAAAAAGGTAAGTGAATCACAAACTTAGCAACAGAAAGGTTGCATTAATCTAGTGATTAACCTAGGGTAAGACTATTTCAAGACACTGATAAAAAAAATCACTACTAAAAATGCTAAAATAATAATGATCAAAGGGCACTTATTATCAAACACCTATATTCATTACAAATTCAGAACAAAATAATAAAGATTTCAAAGGATATCTATTATTATTTCCTCAAATTCTCTTTTTGATATAGTCCCTGGAAAAGTTACAGTGGGTTAAGGTTTTTGAATAGCTGAGATGTTACTCAATTGTCTTTGGTACTCGGTCGTATGGCAAAGGAGAATTATCCATTACTTACATCATCTCAGATTGCTACATTGCCAACTTACCGTTTGAACAATTGTTGACATACTGTCCTACAGCCAGTGGATTATGAATTTCTGATGTTAGCCATGTACTATCACTCATTTTTAAAGGGCCAACCCGATCTCTTCCACTGCAAGATCTGAAACAGGTAAATGTATTAGCAAAGAAACTGTTTTGTATCTAAAGTACTATGGAATTTCTATAAAAACTGTAACTAAACAAATACGATTTTCTTTTAAAAATTTTTGGGTAATCAATCAGATAACTAAGTTGTTACACAGCAGCCACCTAACAGACTTTTAAAGTTCAAATGCTATAGACTATAATTACATGGGAAGTGTGATTCTATAGCCTATAATTAAATTTGGATATGGACATCACTTACCTATACACAACTTTTGATATTCCTTTGTCATTTCCATCAATAAGTACTCCATCCAAGCATCTAAAAATAAATGGGTTTCCAATGGATTGGAAAAATATTGGCTCATACTTCTGATATATTGTACCTATTACACAACAAAACAAAGACAAATTATAACACACGTAAAAATTTTTAAAAATCCAACACTAGGGTGGTGGTACACACCTATAATCCCAGCACTCTACAAGATTGAAGCCCTAAATTTGAGCCCAGCCAGAACAACTTACTAAGTCCCTGTTTTAAAAACTTAAAAAAATTTTTTTTTAAAGCTGGGGATATACCTCAGCACGAATTGCTTCAGTTCAATCTTTGGTACTGAAAAAACAAATCTAAATAAAGACCTTTCTTTGGAACATAAACATGTAATCGATGAATATGTTTTAATTCCTCCATCCCTTCTTAAATATTTTACATCCAATCCAGAGATTCTCTTAGGTTTCTTTCCCCCTTTAAAGAATCTGTGCCCAGTAGGAGATGAGACACAGAACCAACTATCCACACAGGAGAAAATACTCCTGCCTTGCTTTATAATATGAATAACATGAATATCATAAGTTCAGTTTTATAACATACATTTAAAAAACTGAGTGTGACATGACACCAACGAAGAGTCTTTTACAAAATGCATTTTGTTAACAAATAATGCAGATGCATCTGGGAACACTCTGACATTCAGGCTGTTTCTTCTTTTACTCATAGAAGAAGAAATAGGAAAATTAATATTTCAAGGTGCTTCCTATTTGCATACCATGTTAATCTATTTATTGAATTTATTTTAGTATTAATTTGTTTGTTGGCTCGTTTCACTGAATCTTCAGTTAGGTTAGCTGTACAAAAGTTTTACAGTTGCTCAGGGACATAAAATAACACAGTGATTTTTAAAAAGTATATGTCTATCTAACACAAACACACAAACACACAGATACACTTTCCACTACACCAAATAACATTAGTAAAACAAAGAAGATGCATATTCTAATGAACATTTTAGTCAATGATCTTTGGCAAAGAAGCTGCATTCAGTTCCATGAGTAGAAAAAGTAGGAAAGTCTTCATTTATTTATGGGTTTAAACTCTTTCACGTTCTTATTCACACCTTTTTAATGTTTAGTTATCAACTAAGCCACACTGACTTAGTCTCTAATGCTTTTTAAGTAACTTGTTAAATGGTACATTTGTGTTCAAAATTTAAATAGACTCAAAAAAATTTCCTTAAAAGAAAAATGCATTTATCCCAACAAATACACCAGGATACTTTCTAACACACAACATAATTTATAAACATTTAATTCACAAGTTAGAATTTTTAAACAATCTATAGAAACCTGAGTTTCCAGTTCAATTCTTTAAGGATTACAGGGCTAGGTATTATCAGTATACAAGAAACTCTTGTTAGTACTAATTGAGTTGTTACCAGGATACATAGATACAACTGCGCCTTTTGGTACCAATCCTTTAGTAATGAAAACGCCTCTTCCAGCAGAAATCAATGAGCTAGTTGCTCGGGCAACACTGAAACCCAGTGTTTTATAAAGAATTTCTTCTGGCTTAAAAACACATTGCTGCTGATGTCTGTTTTCAAGCAGATTCACCCTTTGATGCTGAAGCGCCAACAGGTCTTGATATTTTGATTTAACAGGTTCTGGAAGTATAGTCAAGATATCTGATTGTTTATTGAGATCATTTAAGAATAAAGCCTGGAAAACTTTCAGTAATGTTCCTAGGACATCTTCATCTGGGATAACTTTGTCTTTGGATTCCTCTGGAACATATCGAAGGGTCCTGAAAATGGGAAAAGTTTCCATTCACTACCCTTCAACTGATAAAAGCCACACTGTTTTGATCCTTTCTGAGTTACTGGCTTTAATAAACTGTAAGATTATTCTTGTGGGTTTCAAGAGTATAAAACTACGAAGTTCCTTAAAGAATAGTTTGAGGTAGCTCTAGGTAGCTTAGCTTCCAACAATGCCCGCATAAGTTGCTAATTTACGAAAGGCCCTTTCTATACCACATGCTGTCAGCTACTTACACACTTTACCCCTTTTCTGCAAAGAAACCGCCTTGGCGGTGTTAGGAAACTTGCCCAACGTCCTAAAGCCAAGAGGCACAATTAGATGCAGAATCATAGCTTAGCTCTTTCCTTCACTACACTTAACAGCCTCTCGAATGTTAATTACCTAATGAGAATCCTCACACTGTAACTGCTTTTTGCATAGGCTTGTAATTTCAAAGACAAATTTAATATTATATCCTTTGTCGCATTCCCTCCCAGATGCACTTCTTTAATGACTTATTACTATAACTATAGTATTTTTTTGTAATTGTATTTTTACTTCTGAACAAAACGAAGCAATTCCTGAACCTCTCACAATTCTATAGTAATGATGCATCTGAATTTGCGTTTCTGTAATATGAAACTTAGTTTTACAGAAGCTAGCATTCAGCAGAAACTAATCTACTTGGTGAGTACCGTGTTAACTTCTTGCAAATCACAAGCTTGGGACCACTGCACTGTCCCAAAGTGACCCATTCAGCTAGTGAGACAGATCCGGAACCACCAATTTAACACTCCGACGTGCTCTCAGTTGTTTTTTGCACGTTTCTCTGTGTTAGCTACTCCAAGCTGTTATCCTCACAGCCCAGCTGGGTTTTCAACACATAAATTACTTCTAAACTGTGAAAAGAACGCTTAGCTTTTTTGAGCGGGTTCAAGTACCTAGCTATGCCTTGGCAGAGAAAACGCCTACGCTCACGCAGTTAAAACACTTCAGGTTTCTGGGGGAATTTTGCCCAAATGCTGAGGCCCAGCCAATGCGGACAGCAAACAGAACACTC